GCAGCCAGCATATGTGGTTGCAGCAGGACCTCTACACAGAACACTTACCTGCTGCTCCGGCACTCAATTTTCGCGGGGCCGCTCGGCTCCGCCCCCTCGCCGGTGATTGGCCGCCTGTGTGCCTTTCCTGAGCTACAGTTCTGGCGGCCAATCACCGGTGAGGAGGCGGAGCCGAGCAGCCGCACGAACATCCAGTGGCCGAACTGAAGGAGACGCCGCGCTTCCTGGACCGGATCGTCGTGGGACTGGATCCAGGTAAGAGACATCAGCCCCTGCAAACCCCTGTACTTAATGCCGCAGCCCCCCTAACATGTGTACCGGCGTATAAGACGACCCCCGACTTTTGAGAAGATTTTCAAGGGTCAAAAAGTCGTCTTATACGCCGGCAAATACGGTAATTGTTATCACATGTTAGAGACAAAAGATATACTGAGCTATATACATAATTTCACTGTGGATCAAGATTGTCTGTTGTAGGAATTTTTGTTTAATTCTTTTACATAATGAATGCTCATGAGCTGGAAACACCAACCCTTCAAACCACCTGCTATTATCTCCATTCTTTAAGCAATGGTGTAGCACTAACTCCCGAAAGAACTACTGGATTGTTTGGTCCTCAGTCACTCCCAGTAGTGACCCATCCTGAGCTGCTCCCAATACTCATAGACATACCAATAATATTTTTTTTATAGTGCCAGGACAATCCCTGCAAATGAATATTTCTATTAAATGGTTACAGGAAAAGCAAGGTTAACCAAATATTAAACACAGGAATAAGCATTTATTAAGACAGGGTCTCTGACTCTTGTTTCCTCTTTTCTTTTTCTTTGAAAGGCTATGCCAAACTCACTGAGTGGATAAGACAAGAATGGCCCAGCAACAGCAAAAGTTTAATTAGTGGCTCAACAAGGCAAATATGGACATTTAGGAATTTCAGAAAAATGTCCCTAGATGACTGGACACCAATATGAAGTGGAGAAAAACCATATAGATATGTGCTTGTATGGTAACCCGATGTGGTTTCTATTATGTTTACTGTAACACAGACACTGGTATCTCTGATATGGTGACAATATGGGTCACAGTTTATGCAGGTTAGGTTACAATCAACTATAAACAGGCTACACTGTATTAGAGAAGTGAAACCGAGTGTGAGGTTTATTGTCAAGCTTTAAGGGTTGCATGGAGTTTGACCTGTGTCCTGCTCAGAAAGGACAACCTTGTTAATTAAAAGAAAGTTGTTAGTTTTTCATGTAACCCTGACAACAGCTCTGTTATCTTAAAGACTGACTATTATAAGCACTGAGCTGAAATAGAAGCTTACAGACTAACACTCAACCTGTCAGAATATTAAACAAAACGAGTAATCATGATCTAATGCTGGACTTTTAAAGCAATTAAAGAATAAAGATGTACTTTATATTTTTGCAGATGCCTGTTGCTGACATGGTTTGCCTGAATAAGCATCCTAACTAATTTTGATGGCTTTCCCATTCCATACATTTTCATGGGAATGAGATGTGTTTATCAAGAAAAAAGTGGTATCCTATGCATCAGCTGTTGAACTAAAACAAGTGAAACTTACTTATGTATTTCATTCTTTCATTATTTAGGAAGACTGTCTATAATCATTTTTATTTTAATTGGCTATTTTAGGAGATTACTTATGCACTCTGAGTCATCCCTGCTAGCCCAACCCAAAAATAAAAATGAAATGAGCTGATTGGATGATATCGGCTGGAATCGCGTGCATTCAAGAGTAACGAATGGAACTAAATTAATTTCAGATTCATTCATTATATTATGATTTGGAGATTCTGATGGATCCATCTCCATCCAACCCAAACATAATAAGGAAGAATCATTTTATTTAACTTTCATACCTTACTGTATACAGTATATTGCAGTATGTTTACATGTCAAGGGAAGTGCATTTTTTTAAAATAAAGAAAACTGTTAAAACTTAAAGAATCGACTGATTACCCAAGTCAAAGACTACCGTGCCACTCTCATTCAAATAAAGCAAATGAATCTGAATTAATACATACTCATTCATTATTTTATTAAATTGAATTAATTGCCCCATTCCCAACTGAATTTGCTTATTGGGCCACGTGCAAACAAATTTAATGAATGGTCTCTCAAGTTCAACTCCAATACAAATAAAATATTATTAGAATGTTAATGCTGCACTCACTAGAATGAAAACCAATGGATCCAAATTAATTTGGATTATTTGTTTTGTCATGACATTATTTGGGATGCTTCAAGCATTGACAAAAGGCCCAAACTATTGCATCATGTCATCCAAATGAAACAAATGAATATGAATGAATTTGTTTTGTTTCATTATTTCAGATTAGTTGAAATTCACTACTATTGTGATTCAGATACAGCTGAATCTCCGAATCACAAAAGTTTAGTCTTTTAGTTTAGAAAGTCTAGAATTTTGATTCCTAACAAAACAAATTGCACATGTCTAGTCTCCAATAAATTTCTTGTGGGTGATATCAGCGGTGAGCGACCCAACTTTTCAACTGGCATAGAAATGTATTATTCTGATAATTATTCTAAGCAGATGTCCAGAGCACTCCCCTTACATCAGATGGCAAGAGTTCCTTCACCATCAGAAGCCATGAGTCCTCCACCCTCCATTACATAACAGTGCACCCCCCTTACCTTCTGTTGCTAAAGGGAAGAAACTAGGGTGAAGTTGGAAGCAGAAAGTGCAGGATCTGGAGGAGGACTGGAGTCAGCTGCCAGAGTCTACTGAATGCTGAGACCAGGGGAGATGGAAATGAGGAGGTGCTGTGGTGGCACAGAGAGGTGCAGGATCTGGCAAAGGAGCTCTGTCCTCTTTTTCTGCTGCAGAATGCTGAGATAAAGTGGGGGCAAAGATGAGGGGGGTGCCGCAGCTGCAGAAGAGGTGTGAGGGCCACATGACATTGCCTGGTGGGTTGGATTCGGCCCGTGGACCTTGTGTCTGACACATGTAATTTAGAGGGAAGTTTAATGGTATAGAGTGTGATCACACATTTTTGGTAATTACTGTAACACCTATACTTATTTTAAAATATATTCCATATATTTGACTTTCTTCTGTTTTGATAATTGCATTTTGTATACTAACTTATAAATTATGCTGCTTAAAAACATGTGTTTTAGGAATTAGAAACTGTATTCCCTGTTTAATGCCTGTTGCTAAGTTAGCCTTTTAAAAAAGTCTAAGTTAGTCAATCCTCTGTAAAAAATTAGATTATTGAAAATATATGAATTTTAATAAATTGTATCTATATGATTAAAATGTAAAATTAATTAAAGCTTTAACAAAGCATTGCTGCACTACTAACTAACAAAGACTGATACACATATAATGTTCCTATCAAATAATACAGACACAGAACACAACAGTACTAAAGAGCAAAATACAATATATTCAAATAGCATAGTAAGAATCAGTGCATCATAATATACAGCAGAAACCAAATACAATATGTTATAATCAGTCAACAAGATGTACATTATTATCAATCCTAGAGGTGAACATTTCCTGGTTTCCCTCTTCCTCTGGCTCCCCATATGCACCTGAATGTCTCCCATGTAGCTGGCCTTTGGTTCCTTATACCAGTTACTCTCATTCACTATCATGAGTTATCTATGATTGGTCTAAAGTACATATTTTTCTCCCCTAAAGTATTTGGATGTAACTGAAGCTTCTTTTCTGTGATAACTATCCAATTTGTATTGCACTCTTCTCGGTGTATCGGACCATGGTGTCTCTGGCAACTCTGTTTTGTTTGAAGATATCTCAAGATATCTCATTCTGGTATCTTCTCAAGTGTTATGATAATAAAACAATATAACCTCAAGGAGATAATACTGGTCTATGCCAGTAATTGAACACACCATCCTAATTCCAATCTGTGGAAGCTGTTTGTACAGCTTACTAACATAGAATTTCACAATGGGAAATTCTTTGATCATGCAACAGACAGGAATAGGAGATCATGGCATGTATTCCTGGTGTGTTCATTATATTTTATTACATAATAAATGGAACTCCTGCCAGTGGTCCTCCAACTTCTTTACTGTGATAAACATGAATACCATATAGATTTTTTTCTGACCTCCATCCACTTTATTTGAATACATTTATTCTCAGCTGTTTTGAAGGGATTTACAATATTCAACATCACCCTGCTACCAAATCATTATCTGTAAATCATTATTCTCCTGGGGTAACTTGCTTTCTGTCTATCTGGAAGATGTTTAAAATTCATTAAGCTTTTTCCTGTATAAAAAGAGACTATGAAGCTAGCTAGGTTGAAAGGGCAGACAAACAAAGAAAATATAGTAATTTAAGAAAAATAACCTGGAAGCACAGTACCATTCATTGTCATATATGTATTTTCTCTCTGGCTCTCTGTACTTCTCTGATCCCAGATCTCCTAGAGCCCTTTATTCCTTAGCTTGCAGAATTGAAGGCCCCAAAAGTTCTGCCTATATGAATACATACCATAATATGCACTCCCATTGTAAATATGCACACTCCAAGCATTTTAAAATGTACTTGTTTTTTATCAAAGATTACAAAAAGGTATCATACATGTCTATGATGATGGATGATGTCACTGCAGGTTCAGAAATATATTACACAAATCAAAGGTTAAAGGGTACAAGCCGAGTAGACAAGTAATAATTTTATGTTCACATGTTCTGTATTTAAGATCACAAAAAGGCATTATGCGTGTTAACGATGGTTGACATTGTATGTAAATAAAAAGTAATTATTTTATTTAGCACTCCTATAAGCATTTATGCCTCATTCTTATGTCCAGAGATGCAGATTCATTGGATCATAAATACATATCAGTACATGTGCTGATTAAAAAAGACACATGGATTTACTATGAATAGACACTTAAACCAGTCAGAACTTTGCTTAATTACCGTATTTTTTGCTCCATAAGACACACCTGACTATAAGACGCACCTAGGTTTTAGAGAAGGAAAACAAGAAAAAAAATATTCTAAACCAATGAACTGCAAACATAGTACAGGAAATGACCAGAGACTGCAGACATAGTACAGGAAATGACCAGAGACTGCAGATATAGTACAGGAAATGACCAGAGACTGCAGACATAGTACAGGAAATGACCAGAGACTGCAGACATAGTACAGGAAATGACCAGAGACTGCAGACATAGTACAGGAAATGACCAGAGACTGCAGACATAGTACAGGAAATGACCAGAGACTGCAGACATAGTACAGGAAATGACCAGAGACTGCAGACATAGTACAGGAAATGACCAGAGACTGCAGACACAGTACAGGAGATGACCAGAGACTGTGGAAATACTATGGGAGATGACCAGAGACTGTGGACATACTACAGGAGATGACCAGAGACTGTGGACATACTACAGGGGGTGACCAGAGACTGCGGACACAGTACAGGGGATGGCCAGAGACTGTAGACATACTACAGGAGATGACCAAAGACTGCAGACACAGTACAGGAGATGACCAGAAACTGCAGACATACTACAGGAGATGACCAGAAACTGCAGACATACAGGAGATGACCAGAAACTGCGGACATACTACAGGAGATGACCAGAGACTGCGGACATAGTACAGGGGATGACCAGAGACTGCGGACATAGTACAGGGGATGACCAGAGACTGTGGACACAGTACAGGAGATGGCCAGAGACTGTGGACATACTACACGAGATGACCAGAGACTGCGAACACAGTACAGGGGATGACCAGAGACTGAGGACACAGTACAGGAGAGGTCCAGAGACTGTGGACACAGTACAGGGGATGACCAGAGACTGCGGACACAGTACAGGGGATGACCAGAGACTGCGGACACAGTACAGGGGATGACCAGAGACTGCGGACACAGTACAGGGGATGACCAGAGACTGCGGACACAGTACAGGGGATGACCAGAGACTGCGGACACAGTACAGGGGATAACCAGAGACTGCGGACACAGTACAGGAGATGGCCAGAGACTATGGACACAGTACAGGAGATGGCCAGAGACTATGGACACAGTACAGGAGATGACCAGAGACTATGGACACAGTACAGGAGATGACCAGAGACTGCGGACACAGTACAGGAGATGACCAGAGACTGTGGACACAGTACAGGCGATGACCAGAGATTGCGGACACAGTACAGATGACCAGAGACTGCGGACATAGTACAGGGGATAACCAGAGACTGCGGACCTTTAGGGAGGTAGTGAGAGTGGGTACCCAAATTTGACAGGTACCCACTCCCACTTCCGCAGAGTTGTCCTTCCTCCCCATCTTCTGGGACACATGACAGGTCCCAGAAGACTGCCAGACCATTCACAAAGCGCAGCGCTTTTCGCGCATGAGCAGTGGGCACCTGGCTGTCACAGCTGGGTGCCCACACTAACGATGCCAGAGCTGGGAGAGAAAACTGTATAGCGAGGGACCGAGGAACAGGTAAGGCTCTGATGCAGAGAAGAGCCGAGCGGCCGGCCAGCTATTCTGACACAGCTGCGGCGAGAATACCAGACCGGCCACTCCATATTCGCTTCATAAGAGAAACAGACATTTTCCCCCTTTTTTGGGGGGGAAAAAGTGCATCTATTGGAGTGAAAAATATGGTAATCCTAATTCAGCTGCCCTAAAGGAAAATGTTTTAATTGTACTCTTGCATTGGCTTGCTGTTAAAATATGGTCCTTTATAAATTAAAGTGCATAAAGCTTATGTTCAGTGTTGAGTACTTATTTAAATTTAATTCTGGCATTTATGTTCTGACAAAAAATATTAGAATCCCAGTACTGACTTTTTTTTTTTTATTCTCTTATGTAAATAATGTGGGAAGCCTTCTTGTGGTAGATTCACACAGCTGGGTATGTACCAATCACCCCTGGAATGTTTGTGCATCTGGGGCATGGTTGGCTGCGGACTGTACCTTACATCCTTCTGCGGGTCTCCTTGCTACTTCTGCCATTTCTGTGTCCTCTTTGTTCTCTTGTTCACCTTTTGGAACTGTGACTTTCACTGCCATAGCTTCCTTTAAGTCCATCTATGCTCCAGCCACTGTTGTCTTGATGAACACTCCCATACTGTATATACAACTACAGAATGCATACTCTGGTTGCTTTTCATTTTACACACTGTTTATGGGTGTCAAATCTTCTTGTTTTTTGTAATTTTTGGAAATGATAGTTTGATTCTAATTGATTTTTTGCCTGTCCTGGATTTGTCCTGACTTTTAACTACAATGCAATTCTAAACATTTACTTACATACATAGTTTGTGGTTCTACTGGTCACAACACCTGCTATATATATATATATATATATATATATATATATATATATATATATATACAGGTGGACATCTTCTGATGTCCTCTCAGAATGTACCTCATACGCGTTGTTAATTTCTTCATTTTCCAAAACACTATGACAAAATATTACAACTTCAAAAATCTTGCGAAGCCTCTCATTAAACACCTTGATCTGTCTACCTTCCAAAAAGGGGTCATTTGGGGAATTTTTGTACTGTCCTGACATTTTTAGGCCTTAAGAAATGAGATGTCAGTACATCAGGATTGATCGATTTTCAGATATATACCATAGTTTGTGAACTCTATAACTCTATAACTTTTCTACAGAATAAATAATAAACACTGGTTTGGGTTATTTTCACCAAAGAAATGTAGCAGAATACATGAAGAGCAATTATTTATTTGCAAAATGTTATTACAAAAACAAGGAAAAACATATTTTTGTTTATATGGCAAAAAATAAAAACCCCAGTGATGAATAAATACCAACAAAAGAAAGCTCTATTTGTGTGAACAAAATGTTAAAAATGTAATTTGGGTACAGTGTTGCATGGCCGCGCAATTGTCATTCAAAGTGCAGCAGCGCTGAAAGCTGAAAACTGGCCTGGGTAGGTAGGGGATAAAATTACCCTGTATTGAAGTGGTAAATACTAGTTCAGTGAGATAATAAGTTATATGGATTATATAATACTGGGATTGATTTACTAAGGGTGTATGTTTTTCATTTTGTCCTATGGAGTTGAATTGATTTCAGCGATTTCATATTGTGCAAAGTAAATTTAGTTTTTGAAAAAAAAAAAAAACCTTTAAACATGGTTGGGTGTTTTACTTGACTAAGTGAAAAACATTGACCTTTAGTATCCCATTGTCTATTTAAATATTTAAAATGAAGGTCAAGTATGAGTTAACAGTGAAAACAGTAAAAAAAAATACTAAAAAACACTGGGTTTAATGAACTCATCTTTTCTTACACTGATAATTTAAAAAAAACAGTAAAAAGTCACTTCAAATTGCTACATGAAGCAGTCCTATCTTTCTATGCATGCATATTTTGGGTGCTGTTGGAATTTTTACATACGCTTACCATGCCATATCAAAGTCCATCCAGTTCAACCATAAAAAAAAAGTTATAATCCTACACCCACAGTTGATCCAGAGGAATGCAAAAAAAAACCCAGCAAAGCATGATCCAATTTACTCCTGTAAGAGAAAAAAGTCCTTCCTAATCCCCCGAGAGGCATTCGGATATTCCCTGGATCAACTTTACCTATAAATGTTAGTAACCAGTTATATTCTGTGTTTCTATGAAAAAATCCAATCCACTGAGCTGGCCAGAACCAACTCTTGAGGGAGTCTATTCCACATTTTCACAGCTCTTACTGTGAAGAAACCTTTCCGTATTTGGAGATTAAATCTCTTTGCCTCCAGGCATAAAGAGTGCCCCCTTGTCCTCTGTGATGACCTCATGGTGAATAACTCTACACCGAGTTCACTATATGAACCACTGATGTATTTATACATGTTGATCATATCCCCCCTTAGCCTGGGTTCACATATATGCAGAGCAGTATATCACATGTGATTCACACAGGAACTGCACTGCATTTCTGTGCAAATCACATGCGATTTGTGTGCGGTGCAATTGGAGCCATACATTTTCTATGGCTCTAATCACACCGCACCTTCACTAAAAATGTGCTGGACCCTTTTTTTTATGTCCACACTAGAATTGGATCACATGGGTATTCACACCTATGTAATCTGATTCCGTACATCGCGCTGCATTTTGCAAACCGCTTTCGAGGTGTTGTTAACTTAACATACACTCCCGCAGCGGTTCACATGAACGGGGTGCGATTCTGATGCGGTGTGGAATCTGTACAGTAAACGCTGCGAATTCCGCACCACATCAGTGTGAACCAGGGCTTAATTTCCTCTTCTCAAGTGAGAATAAATTCAGTTCCTCTAATCTTTCCTCATAGCTGAGCTCCTCCATGCCTCTCCAGTTCCCCAATGTTCCTTTTGTGAATTGGTGCCCAAAATTTAACTTATATTATTTAACAAAATTTAACTCATATTCCAGATGAGGTGTTTCTAATGATTTGTACAGGGGTAAAATGATATCTTTCTCTCTAGAGTCTATACTTCTTTTAATACAAGAGAGGATTTTGCTTGCTTTAGAAACCACAGCTTGGAATTGCATGTCATTATTAAGCTTGTGATCTACCAGAACCCCCAGATCTTTCTCCACCATTGATTCCCCCAGTTGTACTCTCCCTAGTATGTATGATGCATGCATATTTTCAGCCCCCAAGTGCACAACCTTATTTTATCAACATTAAACCTCATTTGCCACATAGTTGCCCAATTAAACAGTGTATTGAGGTCGTAAATTGAAGACATCCTGTAAGGACATTATTCCACTGCACAGCTTGGTGTCATCTGCAAAGACTGAAATGGTATGTTTAATCCCAGACCCTATATCATTTATAAATGTATTAAAAAGTAAAGGTCCCAACACTGAACCTTGGGGTACACCACTAACAACCCTAGACCATTCAGAGTATGAATCAATAACCATTACTCTCTGGATACGATCTTTTAGCCAGTTCTCTATCCATTTACATACAGATTTTTCCAAGTCTGTAGACTTTACCTTACACATTAGCTGTGTGTGGGGAACTGTGTCAAAAACGTTTGCAGAATCCACGTATACCACATCCACCGCCACCCCTCTGTCCAAAGTTTTGCTCACCTCCCTATAAAAAGAAATCAGATTTGTTTGACAACTTCTGTCTTTCATGAATCTATGGTGTCTGTTGCTTAAAATATTTTTTTCCAGCAAGAACTAATCTTAGTGGTCTTTTTTAACTCTCCAGTATCTTCCCAAATATAGATGTTGAACGAACAGGTCTATAATTACTTGGTGAAGATTTTGACCCCTTTTTAAATATAGGCACCACATTGGCCTTACGCCAATCCAGTGGTATTGTCGATGGTGAGACATCAACCCTCTTTCAGTGATGTAAAAGAGCTGGACCTTTCTCCAGGCCACTAATAGTTGACATATTAGATACTGCATGTGCTTTCTTCAGTCTCTTTAGAAATTAGAAGTTACTTTGTAGGTTTTCTTGCAAAAGCAGAGGAAGTGGCAAAGAGGCACTGTGCTAAATAATTAAAGGATTTCACACTATTTCTGATGGTGGCCCATGACATGCTTCTCTAGCTGATGGGAGGGACCAGCAGGGTACTATACATAGCTTCCAGAATACATAACAGTACCCTGCCCCAGTATTCATCTCACGAGCCCCCAGCCCTGATGCAAGTAGAGTGCTGGCTCTTGGGAGTAGTCACACATCAAAATGCTTGATGGGTGGATGTCAGTCTTGAGGAGTGGCTGTTCCTAGGCAAGCTACATTTGCATGTAGACTGCTCAAGAAAATGCCCACATTTGATGTGGATCCTCCATAACTGAAAAAACTGAAATCCAATAAATAAAAGGGGTGGGCAAGGGGTAGTAAGATTTTGGAGGAAGGGATTAGATAATGCTGCGAGAAGCTTACAGTAAGCAGTCAAATCAAATCAACCATTTACAGTACAGAGGAGAGGAACCTGTAAAACTGTAAAGCTAAAGGTAAAATAAATAATCATTTTCTTAAATTGATTCTTACCTGACGGTCAAACAGCATTTTCTATTTTATATCAGCATAAATGCTTCACAATTAAACTAAACCATAACCAAAAAACGTATGTAGGCACATGTCTACCATTTGACAAACAATACATAAATAACTCATATATAAAAACATAATTGGTTAAACCGACTGGTGCTTTTCTCAGTACATTACATTTCCTTTGTATGGAAATTTAAAAAAAAATAAAAAAAAATAAAAAAATAATAATACATTTAGAGTCTGGGTCAAATGTAATGTGTAGTTGCACAGTAGTGCAGCTGCTTTTAGAGATTAACTAGTCTAAGGTCACATATAAGTGGTGCTAAAATGTTCCGTTTTATGTTGCGATTTA